GAGTGTGCCACAGTGGAGGGCAGATTAAGTGATAACTTGTGAAACCAGCTCTCTCTTTTCACGTAAGGCCCCAAACTCAGATTACCAAGCAAGTGCCTCACCCTGCTACACCATCTTGCCAGCTTCCCTGGAGTCCCAGGGCTCTTCCTGTCTGTAATTTCCCGGCACTGCAGGTGTGGACTATAATGGCTGACATTTTTACATGGGTAGTTTGGATCTGAGTTTAGGTTCTTATGTTTATGTAGCAAGCTTCTTATAACTGAGCCACCTCCCCAGCAGCCCTGTATTCCATTAAGAATAGTGCCTACCTCCAATAGAAGATGGGCTTCTGTTGTCTTTGCACATTCTCGGTGCGGAGTCAGTCTCTCCAGTCCTCCCCCCAGTCCTCCCCCCCCCCATCTCTGCCCCTGGGTGGGCAGCTCTGAATACTTTGCAGGTAAGGACCCTACTGCTGATGTCCAGTGGGTCAAAGGCTTTGCCTTATCCTTCCTGGGACCTGGCTCCTCTTTCTTCCCCTGCATTCTTGAATCCCACCTGTGTTTTCCGGACTGGCTTTCTAAACAGAGGAGTTACACTCAAATCTGTCTTTAGTGTGTCTGTTTTTAGTGCATCTAAACTAGACAGAAGTCTTTCCAGAGCTGAGGACCGAACCCAGGGCCTTGTGCTTGCTAGGCAAGCGCTCTACCACTGAGCTAAATCCCCAACCCCGATTTTGTTTGTTTTGAGATGGAATCTTACTCTGCAACTCCTTTGCTAGTCTGCATCTCTCAACTCGTGGTTTTTCAACTCTCAAGTGCCCAAGTGCTAGGATTACACAGGAGACACTCAATCTAGTCACAGTCAAGGCTTTGAAACAGTGACAGTTTATAATGGCAATTTATGCTTGGGTGCTACAGATCTTTTCCCATCCCAAGGAGGGATGGTGGGTGAGGGTCAGGAGCTTTGCCCTGCCCTGAAGCTTCGGGTCCTGAGTGGGAAGATGTCTGTGGAGCTGCTGTCCTGGCTCTCACAGAGCGCTCTTCCTGCTGGGTCTAAGTCCCCAGAACAGGAGCAGACTGGGGCTCTCTCCGATCCTGCAGGTGTCAGCCAGTCTCCAAACTGATCGCTTACTCCCAGGAACCCATACCCTAGGAAGTCTTCTGTCTAAAGCCAGCCCCACCCCCACCCTCCTCCTCAGGCCCTCATGAGTCTGCTTCTGTCTGGGCAGGCCTGTCTCCCCCAGGCCCTAGCTGACACTTGCCCAGGGAGAAGAGCAAGTGTGCTCATATAGAAGAGGTACAAGTAGTTGGCCAGCTGTCCAAGCACACCGGCATGGCCAAGTCCAGTCAGTGAGGTGGACGGGCCTGCCTGCATTCTGGAGGTCCTCTAGGCAGGTACCCAGACTCCAATGCTGTGCCTGTGGTCTAGATGCTCCTTTTTATCCACGTGGAGACCTGGCCCATAGCAGGACTGTGTAATGGCCAGCACAGCTGTGGGAGGAGTTGAAGGAAGAAACAGCAGGTGGAACCCTCCGCTGGGTTCACGGAGAGCACAGAGCCCTGCTAGCTCTGTCTGTCACAGCTGCCCTGACCCTGTGGGTTGGGCTGCTTTAGAACCTCCATCATCTTGAATGAAGGGGAAGCCTTTGAGGCCACTGAGGTTGGAAGTCACAGAAGCTGGCCTGAGTCCCCCTTGCTTCCTAGTGCTCTTTACCTCCTTCCTATATGTCCCCTTTAGGGACAAGTCCTTTACATGGCACCTGGCCACAGCTGTTTCACTGGGTTCTGCATCTAGGAGCCAGTGCTAGCCCCTGGCTTGCATCTTGAATCGAGATAGCCACAAGATGCAAATAGCTTCTTTGAGACCACAGGCCAGCCAGATTGGAGCCCAGGGCCCCACAAAAGAAAAGAGCATAATTTCCTTGTTTATTTATTATTATTAATTTATTTATTTTGAGATGGCTTTCACTATGTAGGTGAGACTAGTCTGGAACTCACAGAGGTCTGCTTGCTTCTGCCTCCCAAATGCTGGAGTTAAAGGTGAGTTTCACCACACACAGCTCATTCAAGGCTTGCCTAAGCCTCCTTCTTTGGGTTACAACTGTACGGAATACAATCCCGTGCAAGGAAGTTACTCCCCAAAATGCAACACTAATTTGTATGGGGTCTAAATGTGGGCAAAGTTAGCTCTAGGGACACAACTAAGTCTCTTTTGTTTTTAAAATATTCCCTTAAGGAAATAATCAGCTGTCTTTAAAAAACAAACAAACAAACAAGCAAACAACTATTTATTTTACTATACTGAAAAATTTTTTTTCTTTTGAGTTGTAGGGAGGCTCATGCCACAGCACATGTATGGAAGTCAGCAGACAAGTTTTGGGAGCCATTTTCCCTTTCCGTCGTTTCTCAGATTGTCAGGCTTGTGGGCAGCCATTTACCTGCTGAGCCGTCTTTTCAATCCCTTCCCAGTTGTCTTCTGTATTGACAGAAGAGATAACTAAAAGTGGGGACTCTATATTATGAATGAAGTCAGAAGAGTAAACTTGCTGTTTGAATTGTGCCAACAAGGAAGGATGGTCTCCTGGGCACTTCTGGGCAGGCATAGAGAGTTCAGGAGTGGATCTGCGTCTCCATACTGGGAACTACCTAGTTTTCACACAGGGAACCCTGCACTTTGAATATCATATCCCTCTTTGAGGTAGGGACAGCTGAGGCTTGCACAGAGTTGCCTGGCCAGCCCCGAGGAGCTGTGTCTAGGTGTGTTGGTTTGTGTCTGTTCAGGTCTTATCCAGGAGATAAGAAACTGAAGATAATCTGGGTTGCCTGGGTTTGGGCCTCTTACTTCACCCATCAGGAAAGGTCCATGACCAGGCCAGTTTGGGGTCCTGGTCTTTTAGGGGAAAGTTCCTACTTCTTGACTTAAGTGGTCCTTCAGGCTCTGTGTTTGAGCCGCTGTGCTCAGGCCCTTGGCTGTGTTACCTACTCTGGGTGTCACTCTGCAATACTGTCCTACTTTGATCCCACTGTACAGCCAGTATATGGAGGGGCAGGCAGTGGTGGCTTACTCAGGCCGGAACCTGGGTACCTGATGTACAGATGGATAATTGGTTCCTAGTCTCGGAGGCTGCAGGCTAAGGATCATACCAGCTGCCAACCTGAGTGAGCAGCACAGAGATCTGCTCTCTAAGCTAATAGCTAATGGGTGGCCCAAGAAGGGTCAGTAGGCTACTAGGCTCAGGGAACAGATTCAGTAGACAAAAGCTGCTGGTGCCTGTATCATGGGTGAGAGGTTGGGTCGTAGTTCATGCTGTGGGGAGGATGTTGCCTGCCGGTGACAGGACTTTCCACAGCTGTGCCTCCTTTGTGTTTTGGCATCCCGAGGTCATGCTGGGAGCTCCTAGGTTCTGCAATACTAGCTGTGTCGTTCTTGGGTTCTTGGGTGTGGAGTTCTGTCTATCAGATGCCATCCTCACTAAACATGGGATGTACTTTGGGCTGTCCTACTGCAAGGGAGATCTTGGGTGGTTCATTGTGAGGTACCGCTTGTGTAGGCACCTAGGTTTTTTGAGCTATTTTCTCGTTATGAAAACACCCTGGCGTGAGTGTTTTGTGGTGTCCTTATGAAGGGACCGGGAACGCGTGTTGTGGTGCTCCTATCATTTGGGAACAGGGACTTCAGTCGTGAGGAGACCGTATGGTGCTTTGAGACGTTCTGGTATGGGGACCCCAATATTTTGTAGCATCCTTGTTAGGATGGCACCTGGGGTTTGTCTTGTGGTGTCCTTGTTATGGGTGCACCCCCGGAGTGTTTCGCGGCGTCCCGGCCCCGTAGAGCACCAGGACTCGGTGTGAGGTCAGAGCGTCCTGCAAGGTGAGGAGTGGAGGTTATTTGCCAGTGTCTCTGTAGGATGGGGACCCCAGGATGTATGGCGGCAGCGACGCAGGTCTACTGCGGACCGCCACTCAGCTGACCTGTGGTTGTGGTAGGGGCTTTGCGGGTTTCGGGGGGACCCAAGACCGTGGTGGCAGCAGGACTGGAGACTTCGCAGCCGCGCAGGAAGCCGTCTCGGCCGGAAGGGGGGCCCCAGTAGCCTCCGCTGTGGCCGCCTCCAGCGGCCTCCTCAAGGCGGGGCCGAGCCGGGACCGAGTAGGGCCGAGCGGGGCCGAGCCGGGACCGAGTAGGGCCGAGCGGGGCCGAGCAGTGCCGAGCGGGGCCGAGCTCTGGCCGGGGCCACCCGAGCGGAGTCGAGTCGTGGCGAGGCGTGGGCGGACGAAGCCGAGCTTGGCCGAGTCCGGTCCGGGCGTAGCCGAGCGCCACCGAGCCGGGGAGGGGGAGCGCGCGTTCTTGGAAGAGCCAGCGCGGAGCTGGTCACATTCCTGGCCCGCACTCCGGCTGAGGCGGACGCACGGCAACAAACAACGCGGGAGGCGGGGCCGGCGCGGGCGGGCGGGGCGGGACGGGGCGGGGCGGCGCGCGGCGGCGTGAGCTCAGCTCCCGGCGCTCAGTCCGAGCCGGAGCGAGCCGCCGGGAAGATGTGCGCCGAGTGCGCCGAGCCCCGCGCCGCCGCGGCGCTCTGAGGCCGCGGGCCAGAGGCGCCTCCGCCGCCCCGG